CGACTCCCTCAACATCTGGCAGGGTGGCCAGATGGACAGACAGTGAAGTGGAACAACAAATGGAACTCTAAGTTTCGAGCCCCGACAACAAACTAACAGGCTGTTCAAGGGAGGAAGGATGTCAGCCATGGAAAGGCTCTTTGCCTCAGGCAGAGATGGTGGGGAATTTAAGGACTCATTTGATGGTGGCTAGTTAACACTGACAATGGAGCTGTGTACTTGGACAGAGGCAGGAAAGAGGCTAAAGGGAAGCCCTGGGTAAAGTGCTACTAGGTTTCATAAATCCCAAGTGTTTCCGAGGTGATGAGCACTGGTGGCTGGAAAGGTAGCGTCACCGTGACTATAAAGAAAAGGAAGATAGCTGTAAAGAGGTGAAGCTCTTAAAAAACCAGATACACTGACACTAAGAGGAAGTGGGCCAGGAAGCAAAGATATTACAGCTCCAGTGGTATCCAAATCTCCAGCGGCTACAGAGATTTATCAGTGCATCCAAACTCTACTAAACTATGGGTGGGGCATTGTGACAAACGAGGCGGAACAAATAAGACGCAGTCCTGGCCCTCCATCTAGCTCAGTCTAGTAGGGTGAAATGGACCTAAATCCCACAGAACAGAGAAGACTTCAGAAGGGAGGTGGCATCAGAGCTGGAGCGTGACCAGCAGAAGGAATTCCACCAAGCTGAGAAACCAAGTCTAAAGAGGAAATGAGGCAGAAAGATCTGCAAGAGAAAAGGCAGTACGGGGGAACCCTGAATCAACATTATAGTGTGGCCGGAGCATTAGGGCAGCAGTGGCGGAAAAAGTTAGGTGAGGGTCCGATTAGGACAACTCTAAAACCAGATTAAAAAGTTAGGATGGGTAGGGTTCTTTTTTATGTATTTTTAACAAGTGAGCACGGGGTGTTTCTGAAGTTAATACCTACTATATATAAAGTGCCTACTCTGTAGAACCTATGCATGTCTTAATCCTGACAAAACCTTAGAAAGCAGGTGATATCACTCCATTTCCAGATGAGGAAAGAGAACCTCAGAGTGGTCCTAGCTTGCCCAGGATCACACAGCTATGAAGTGGCAGGGCTAATATTCAGATGTGACTCCACAGTTCATGATCTTTCCTTGAAGCCATTCTCAACTGGGGTTTCTCCTTTGAACCACATACGTGACATTATTTGAGTAATGATTTTCTCAATTCTCCCAAGGATGGTACTAAGTAGTACCATTTTAGATGCCTGGGAGAGAAGTCAATTCCTTGTGTACAATGGACACCTTAGAGCATGAGGGCTCATTTCTCTGGGGGAACCCTGGTTAGAAAGGCTGCCATGATGAGAGATGTGTTTTAGGAAGATGGATCCGGCAGTTGGATCACATCCTAGGAGAAAACAGCTATAATGGCACCTTGACAGTCCTGGAACTATTAGAATGAGTCCGTTCCAGGGGCATGAGGAAAGAGGCTCCCCACTTTCCCTGATAACTCCTCTTCCCAGCCGTCCTGCCTCTGCCTGCCCCCTCCCTCCGACCTTTTCTTGTACTTGGCAGTCAAGTGCTGAATGAAGCGGACCCTTCCTGCTCTCAGCCAGAAACACAGGCAGAAGCAGTGTCTTCAGAGATGAAAACCACAGGGCCTGTGCACCCACTTTTCTGTGGAGGTCGGGGGTAGAAAACTGGCACTAGTGAATTCAGAACCCTCCCATAGAAATCATCTGGCAAACTCCTATTACTGTTCTTGATAAAACTAAGCATTCCCTGCTCAGAGAAGCTTTCTGTAACTGACTCCATCTCCCTACTCACCAGGCATTTCCTCCTCCGTGTCCCCAGAGGCCCTTGTCCAGCGCCATGCCAGACCACCTACCCAGTGGTCACTGCCTATTTCCTTATCTGTCTCCTCCACCAGTCTGAGAGTCTCTCAGGGTCAGGGACAGTTTGCCTGACCCATCTTAGGATGCCCTGAGGTTCATGGTCTCAGAGATGGCAAATGGCTTGCGCAGTGTCATTACAGAATGAGATTTAAATCCAGATGTGTCTGGCTCCCAAGGCTGTGTTTTTTTCGCAGTTACGGGGCCTCCTGAAGGTGAAGAAGTAAGTGACCCTTCTGTGCTAAGCACCCAGCCCAGCACTGTAACAGTTCAGAGGCAGTGCCTACCAGGAGGGGCTTCCTGAGAGGAAGGCCTTGAAAGGTCCCAGGATCTAGATGAGAAGAGGGAACGTGATGGCATTTTAGGCAAGGTGGGGAAGTTGTGGACAGAAACAGAATTATGAAGCCTTTAGGTGGAAGTACAGGTTTCATGAAGGAGAAATGGGATTATAGCTGCCAGGGTGAGTCTGATTTCTTTATACAACCATGGAACATGTAGCAAGGGCTTTTACAGACATTATCACTAATCCTCATGCTATCCCTATGGTACTTCTCAGGTGTTACTTTACAGACAAGAAAACTGAAGCTGAGAGAGTTAAGGTAACATATCCAAGGCAATACATGTGGTAAGGTCAGGGAGCTGGGATTCAAACCCAGGTAGGCCCAACTCAGAAGACGGAGGTGTCCTTTCTATTATCCCGCACTGGTTAGAGAGCTTCCCACATTATCACACTGATGCTGCCTGGACCTCCTCCCAGCCCTCACATGGGAACTGCTGGTCAGGGGGCAAGAACAGCTGCCCCCTCCAGCTCTAACCCTCTATGACTGGGGACCCGAAACCCCTGTGAACTAAGCAATTTCAAAGACAAGGGTTCTGTGTAGACCTCCTGAGCACAGGCTGGCCCCTTGGATTTCACAGAGAGCCGCTCTCTAAGTTGCTGCAGCCAAGCTGGTGGTAAATAAAGGCTAAGAAAGCTGGATGGGCAGGAAGGCAGACCCTCCTGCCTTCCCTGAATCCCTTATAGAAGGTCAACTGAGGTCAGAAGACTTTGGAAATGTTACTGGCAACAGCCCCCAGGACAAGGGAGCAGGACCCTGCCTCTCGGTTGGCTGGTCACATACACAGGCCGACCAAGGGAGGTCACAGGGGAGGGAGGTCAGAAGTTGGCAGGCCTGCAGGCCCTGAGTGACGGCCACTTGTTCGGCTCAGGAAGGGAGAAATAAGTGGGTTAATGGTTTTGGCCCTTGAGGCTGGAGGCTAGGGCAGGGGGTGTAAATGGATGCTGGGTAAAAAGGCAGGTGGGCGAACTGTAAATGTGGGGGCCACGGGCATCTGTTCCAAGTCAACAGGCAGGAACCATGCCCCTGGAACGGCTCAAAGGGCCAGCCTTGGCCTGGGGTGGGAGGGGGGGCACTGCATAAAAGGCTCATGCCTGGTCATTTCAAAGGTGTTCGATCTGGAAGGCTGGGGAGAGGGTCTCTTTTTACAGTGAATTCTCTGTCTGTCTGGGGGCTGAGGGGAAGCGGCGAATGTAAACCACTGGACAATGGCAGGGGGTATTGATTGATTTTAAGGCACGGCAGAGAGAAGCCCCATGGTGAATGCTCCAATTCTTAGCTACAAATGTCTCGCAGGAAAGCTTTCCAAAGGACAAAGTAAGTAGCATCCTGCTTGGGGATGTTTTCTAAGTCTCTGCTTCTGAGAGCAGTGAGTTCTTGCTTCAGAAACATCAATCACCTCAGGCACTGTCACCATATCCACAGCAGTCCTCCCTTCACAATGTACATGCCCCGACCAAGGCGCACTCCGGGACAGGCCCCTTTGCAGGCTGGGGACGTGGGCCAGGCCTGGGTCTTAAGCCAGTGTGGCTGGATTTGGGGGTTACTGGGAAATCCCTTCAACTCAATCATATGACAAGGGCTAGACGACGATCTGGCGATACGGGGCCAGGGAGGCAAAGGCTCTGGGATGGAAAGAACTTTCTTTGAAGACTGGATTTTGAAAAGTGATTGGGCTGCAGAGGACAGTTGGCAGAAGTTACAGAGAAAAAAATTACAGCTCATTTAAAAGACATTGCAACCACTCAAAGAAGAAATGGACTAAATGGACACCTAAAATGGAATGGGCTCCCAGGGAAGAAGCAGGGTTCCCTCAGTCCCTGGTAGAATCCAAGGAAAGGCCAGCCAGCCAGTTGTTGGAGAGGTTTGTGCTGGGAGGGGAGCGGGTAACCCCAAGGACCTCTGAAGGCCCTTGCAGCTCTCAGGTTCTATGGAGAATGACCCCTGACAAGTAGGAGCCTGGTGTGCAGCCCCCAAAGAGGGTCTCTAGCCTCTGAAGAAGGTACAGGGAGGGCATAAACAGGCAGTCATGTGCCATATTCAGGGGCCCGGGTATCGGCTAGATGCTTTCCTCCCTATCCTGAAGAGAGGCTGGAGTGGGATAAGAGGAAATGGGAGAAAGAGTGACTGCTTGGGAGGTAAAATATCAGGCCGGGTGGAGGATAACTCTGCACCACACTTGGACAGGACTAGATCAGCCCGAATCTGGAGGTGGCACATACTGCCCCTCCATTTAAACTAATGCTCTCTAAAGGGAGGGTATTCAATCATTCAGCAAGGTTGTGTCCTGGGTACTATGCTAGGTGCTGGGGATGAGTCAGCCAAGGTTCTGGACTTCAGGGAGCTTAGAGGCAAGTTAGGGAGAAGGCTACTGAACACATAAAACAACGTCATATTGTGACAAGTGTGACCTTAGGCTGAGGTGGGGGTGGAGTCACGGAGGTCGTCTTTGAGACCTGGGTTAGTAGGGATGCGAAGGGCCTCCCCCCTGTCCACTAGCCCTGCTCTGGAGGTCACAGGGGTGAAGAGAGGGCACTTTTGGGGAGTGCAACCAACGAAGCTCTCAGGTTACGTGCAGACAGGCAGGATGGCATGGTACATAACACACGGGTAGGCAAAGAACACACTCCAGCCACACAGGGCAAATCACATGTGCATATGGCCACGCTCATTAAGTACAGCCACCACTGAGGCATTTCCAGCTGTGTCTGGCAGGGTAGCAGGGCTCTGGGGGAACGTGGCATTTGCAGAGTGGAGTGGCTGTCAGTCTCCTTCCCTGCCCACCCCCACCCCATTCACTCACGCTCTCACCTCCATCAAGCAGCACCTTGACGGTGCGGTAGTCGTCGGCAAGGACAGCGTAGTGCAGGGCTGTGCAGCCCTTGAAGCTGGCGCGGTTGTTCAGCCGGTTGTTGAAGTCATCCTCTCGGGTGACCAGGACTGGGGGGACAGGAACACAAACCTTCCATTAGCAACAAAGACCATGAGCCACCAATCTCACCTTCTTTCTCTTGGCATTTTGATTCTACCTACTTACTAAACATATAATGGCAACCTACTACAATATATGCCTGGCCATCTGTGCTGGGCAAGAGAAGGTAAAACAGAGGCCAGTTAATTCCACAAACGTTTACTGACTATTATGTATCAGGATTCATTTGGGGACGTAGAAGTGAATCAGACATGGTCTCTGACCTAATCCAAAGGAGAAGGCAGACAACAAACTGGTGTTTACAGTATTTTTCGAAATAAATGCTATGTTGGAGGTGTAACAGGATATGAAAAGCCAGAGGGCAGCTTAGCTCAATTTGGGCATGAAGAGAGGATCCCAGAAACACAGAGTCTTGAAGGGTGAAGAGGAGTTACCCAGGTGAAGAAAGAAGGCTTGGGTAAGACGGGCAGGAGACAGAGGCTGTTCTTAGCAGAACTGCAACATACCCCTCTGCTCTGAAGATGTTTACAATTTAGTGAGTGTTTAATATTTTGTAAAGACCTTTTTTAATTTATAAAAGCCATTAAAATTTTGGAACTACAGAAAAGTACAACAAAGGGATCATTATCTCAGCAACTTGAGAAACTGCTCTTAATATTTTGGGATATATATATATATATATATATATATATATATATCCTACATATATACTCTATATATACATACCTACATATAGACGCGTATACATATTATATATACACTATAATATAAAATTGGGATTTACTAAATTGCAGTTTTTATAATGTGTTTTTTTTTCACCTTTAATAAACACACTGTGAACATTTTCTTGAAGGTAAGAAGAATAGCATTTCATGTGGTCAAAGAACCAAAACCCCCCAGGCTTACTCTAGTGCTAATATTCATGACTCTCCCTCTCCAATTTCATATAAAAGAACTTAAAACCACTTTTATAGGGCACTCTGGGTCAGTGACCACACACGTCCCTGTTCACCTGGGATGAACCTGACCTATGCCTGTTGTCCTGGACAGTCCCAGTCTGGACAATAAATTGGGAGGTTACCCCACCCCTGAGGCCTTCCCTTGAGAACTGAGACCCCACAGAATAGCTATCCTGCTTAGGTGATGGGGTGTCTTTTTGCCTCATGTAGAAATTATCAGAGTAACTGTCTTATGTTCCCTCCTGAGCAGAGTTTGTTGGGGGATGGAATTTGGGCCCTATCTACCTGAACCCCCTTCTCCCCTAGCCCATGACACAGGGCCTGCAAAGGGTAGGTTCTTCTTACTTCCCACTGAGTAAAAGGGTGTAATTCAGTCAAGAAGTAACCTTGCCTAGGTAGTCAAAAGCACGACAATTCCTAAACCATTCTTTTCCATGTGGTCTTAGAATGGAGTCCATGCATTTTTCCCTCTGGCAAAACTAAACTTCCTATTTAAAGTTCCAAAAGCCAGAAGACTGTTCCGTTTCTTCCTAATACTAACACATTTCATTTACTGACTTTATTCTAGCGTGTGCCTGGAATGGTCACTTTGCACAATCTATTTAATTCTCATAACTACCTTATACAGTAGGTATTATCATTCCCATTTTATAGATGAGGAAAATGAAGCATGGAGGTCACACAGCTAATATGTGGTCGAGGGAGGATTAAAACCCAGCTCTAACCCGAGTCCTTACTCTTTCTCTCCATCATATCATGCTATCACCCTCATTTTGTAAATGAGCAAATCAGAGCGCAGAGCCTAGATGTCTGGTCCTAGCCTTGGCTCCTATTCCCCCTTCTTTCCCTGCTCAGGTGAAGGTGCGGCCACTCTCTGCAGAACTTAATTACTTAACAAGAAATGTCCCAAGGTTTGTAGCTAGCACCCAGATAAGCTGGCTTAGGTGGAAGTATTTCATGAGTTTGGCCAAAATGAAGTTGCTGGGGTGTGTAGCTGAGAATAGACCATCTTTTCCTGTGGTCTATGGACTCAATAGTGGATCAGGTCTTCTGCACCAACACAGAGGCTCTCCAGACTGACAATGCCTCCAACCCCACACCAGGGTCCTCTGACCTTTCTTGGAGTAGGGAGAACATGAAGAAGGCCTCTGAGTAGCTAACACACAAGTGCCATATGCAACGGCATCTGCATTTCCCCCATAAGAGAGCCCTTTAGGACCCAACTCAGAGATTACTAACTCTCAGTCACAGTCTTATCAAATCATGGTAAGTGATCTTGTTTCCAGCCCACTGCAGATTAGGAGAAGGAAAGAAGAAGGCTGGGGAGGCTTCACAATCAAGCAGATTGATTACAATCAAGTGCTGACCAGGCAGGGAGGGAAAAGAACAGCACACTATAAAGCTAAAAAGGAATTCACAGAATACGGAACCTCAAAAGCCCCTAAGGGCACTTCTGAATTGCCACATAGGACATTAACTGCAGGATATAATGAGGAATCTGAGGAAAAGTGATAGTTGGCTCAAGAAAGTAGGAAGGGTGCAATCCATTTTACAAAGAAAACATATCATTCATTCAACAAACAACATTTCTTGAGTACCAATGCATGGTGGTAGCTTCTGGAGATGTACTAATGAGTAAGAGTCTAATGCAAGACTCAGACCACTGGACAGATGACAGTATTTCACAAGTGCAGTGATAAAGCTATACACAGGATGCTTACCATAAAAAGCAGACGAACTCAAGGAACACAACTGGGGCTATTCGGTTCAGGGAAAAATGTCACCAGAGTGCCAGCAGCATAGCCCAGCTAATAAGGAATATCCATGAGGCGGGCCCCTGCCCACCTCTGAGTTCTTATCTCTCACCACCCCCTTTCTAATGCTCTTTCTTGCCTCTGAGATTTTGCAGATAGTATCCATTGCCTGGAACACTTCACCTCTCCCATGACTTCAGCTGGCTAACTCCAGTTCATTTCTAGGCCTCTGATTAGCAGTCACTTCCTCCAGTGGGTCTTCCTAAGTCTGAAGTAGTACTGCTTCTAAGAGCTCCGCAGCACCTTAGGCATCTCCCAGTGACTGTATTTACTACATTCTACTGCTATCACCCGTTTAGTTGACTGCGTTCTCCACTAGACTGAAAGCTCAATGCGGACAGGACAAGTGACTATCTTCTCCATGGCTGTATCCCCACTGCTTACTATAGGGTCTGGCCATAAATATGTGCTTGACAAATACTTGTTGAATCAGCAAATAAATACATAATTCATAAATAAGGCCCTGATACCACCTTGTTTTTGGGATGATGATGATGATGATGATGATGATGATGATGATGATATTTAGTGGAGGCAGCAGAGTGTGGCTATGAAATAAGTGAGCTGTGGAGCCAGGCTGCTTGTGCCTGGATCCCCGCTCTGAACTGACTGTGTAATCCTGGGTACCTACCTAACCTTGGTAACCTCTCTGTGCCAAGTTTCTTTATCTGTAAATGGAGATGATAATGGTACCCTCTCAGGGATGTTGTAAGGATTAAATGAGACACTATGAGTAAAGGGGCGTGGAACAGTGCCTGGCATATAGTACCTCTCAGTAAATGTCAGTATTATCCTTTCTGTTTGGTCTTGTGCTTCCAACAGTGTATTCTCTGTGTGAAAAGAGGTCCATTTGGGGAATCCTGCATACACTTTTCTCCTCAGAAAGGCACAGTTCTGAGTTAAGAACCATCTGTTTAATTTGGTGTTACTCAGCATTTGTTATTTGACAGGCTCTTTCCACTAACCCTTGCTAAAATACTGCAGTACTGGTGTTCCACTCTTTGGAACTGAGTAGTGCATCACGGTCTGTAAAATATTTTCATTATTTATTTCAGAATAATCCTGCGAGGTCTAAGTTTACTCTCCCCATTTTATAGATGAGGAAATTGAAGTTCAGAAGGATGCAATGGTCAGCTGGTGGCAGAGGTAGGACCCAGTCTGGTTCGGCTAGGCTCGTTTCGTGCTCTTATCAATAACCTCTTTTGGCCCATCACCCAGTTTTAGAAGCTCTGCCCCAGATCATCTTGCTGAAGCCTCCCGCTCATTAGATTTCATACTCTTCCCTAGCCAGAACAAGTGGCTAAAGGCAGGAAGGTGTGGGGAGAGGTGTAGCACACACCCTCACACACCTATCCCCCCTCACTGAAGAAGAGTATGCAAATCCATGGAAGCTCAAGTGACTCATCCAAGGCTGGCTCACCAGCTGGCTACCACGGTGGTCTTTGGAGGCCCCGTGTTTACAGCTGGTCCTCAGCCAGTGAACCATTCCCTTCTCAACAAAGACATCTACCCGCCTATCTCCAGCACTGGGTGAGGTGAGCGCAGGCTCCTGCTTCCCCTCCAAGCCAGCCATTCCTGTCTCTGCAGTGGGTGCTGCACTGCTCTGACCACAGGAAGAGTGCGAAGCATCACTCTGTCATCCTTCTGCTCTCGTCTCTGCCTGCTGATGCTGCAAAGTTAATGCGTGGGTGCCGCGGCTGTATGTGCATGCTGTACACTCTACAGGATTCCCTGGCCTCAGCAGAGGTGAAAATAGTCCCTGAAGCCTGGCTAGGCGCGTTTATGTAGCCTGGCCACTTACCAGCACTGCTAAAACAGAAAAAAAACCAAAAAGAAAGAAAACAAAAAACCCCCACTGCCTCCCACGATGAGAAAGAGTGACTTAAGGTAAAAAAGTCAGACAGTTTGAATCTTAGCTCTGCCACTTACTAAGTTCTTCTATCTGTAAAACGGGTACAATAAGCAATAATCTGAGGAGTACTAAATATTTAAATTTGAGAATCAAATCTGATAATAGGTTTCTTAAAACATCATCAGAAACATTTACCCATGCTGCTTTCTCCCTTGGGTCAGGGACTGGGGACAGAGATTTGATAAAAAGTATATGAGGCGACGGGTGGTCTCAATTTAACAAAAGCTGTATTGCTGCTGCCTTGTGCAGAAGACAGGCAACCCTTGTTATGAGTCCCTCTCCCCCGGGCTCGCTTCTACCCACCACCCCCAGGAGCTGCGCCA